AAATAACATATGGACCTTGTTCCACACTAGCAAAAATTCATGTTCTAACCTATTTCTCAAAAATTCTTTCAAGATGAGAATAATCTGGTTATGTAGAAATTCCCTTAATAGTTTGCATGTGCGGCAAGTACTGTTACAATTAAAATGGTGTGAAGCAGGTGCCAGTGCTATTTTACATCTCAGTTGCTTTAGTGCCAGGGTGGTGTTGGGCCTGACAGTAGGAAGCTTCAAACTCATTGAAACATCTTCAGTATTGAGTGTTTCTGGACTGTGACAGTTGTCACAGTACTGTGAAGCCATTCACCATAACCTAACACAGGTACAGGGCAAAACTGCAGTAGTTCCGTCTCTACTGGCCGTGAATGAATATATATAAATATTTATATATATATATATCTTGTGAAACACTTTGGTCACACTGGTTCAGCTAACCATTTTGATTCACCTCCAAAATAAGGCCTTCATGTCAGATTCATTGTGTGAAGAGAAGAACTTGCAAGTGGTATGTGATTAAACTTGGCTGTGTAGATATGAGCAAGATAAGTAATTTCTAGCTGAGAGAAACTGATTTATTGAGCTGCTTGAAAATTCTTTCATACTTGATGGAAAGCTGCTTGGCTGCCTTGTGCATCTAGAGGAATGCTGCAGTATCTTTTCAGCAATTCTGTGGGAAGCGTATGCAGATGATGACTGAAAGTTGTAAGATGTGTATTTGGAGTGAGAGTGATGGGAAATACTTGATATTAAAAAGCCTTACAATTTTTGATCAAAGCAAATTTAAAGGTAATATGATCAGGGTGTCTAAGTGATTTCTCAAGAGTTTGGTATTCACTTATATAACTTAAAACCTTAATGTCTAGGGTTACAAACTTTGGAAAATCCAAAATAGTTTTACTAATATATAACTGAAAGCCCTGACTTGTGTTTTGGAGAAGAGCTTTTCTTAGCTTGATGATGCAAAAATTATGCTGACAATTTTTTCCAAACTGCCATTCTTTTCTGGTAATAACCTGGATTTCTTGCTTTAATGCCACATAGTAACTGTATTTTTTGTATTGTGTGAGTTGTTCTTTATTTTCCTATGTGATCTGCAACTCACAGATTAGGGATCTGTGAGAGTATTCAGTCACATCTATCAGTAGCCTGAAGATATCTAGGATAGTTTACAGCATATTACCTATGAATTCAAAACTGAATTGTTGTGTGAATGTACTCTGAATCACATTTTAGAATTTTTCACTGTATGAGTAGATATTTATGGCTATAAGAATTGACTCTGTGTACACTTCTGTATTTGTGCATTCTCCTTGGCTAGAACAAAATAAACATAAAAATGTGGTATTGGTCCAATTTGTAGATTTTTCTCTGGCATGTCAGTCTTCTCTGAGAATGTGAAGAGGAATGTTGTCTATCATTATCTTCAGTTTCTAAAATGGGAGGTCATGCAGTGTTTGAAAGCAAGAAATTGATGCTCCAGTTAATATAAAGTCAGTGTCCTGTTTCCTACCTTTGTTATACCCAGCACAAAGATAAAGCAGTTGAACATTTTAGTTCATAAAAGAGTTTTAACATTCTAGTTAGACATTGGCATATTAATGGATCAGCTAGGATAAATAAGATAGTACTGTTGCATTTTACTCATTTCAATCAATAAATATCTGCTCCTAAATCTATTTTCTGATACTTTTCGCCAGCAGTAAAAATTACAACTGGGGGGTTTGTGTGTGAAAAATCTTTTCAAATAACCATTTTTTTCCTCACTTGTCTGTGTGGTATGATGGATATATAATCTTCATCTCCAGCTTGGTATTTGCAGTGTTTTGAAACGTACTGTGGTGGTTCAGTGTCAGGAAAACTGCAAGAGATAATGATTCAGACAGAATTTTTAAATCATAACCTATATTTTTCCTGTAAGTTTGATTAGTCACATCTAAGTCACTGTAGTGTAGCTTCAAGGACATTCCGTCGGTATATACTGATGCGTAGCTTAGTGAGATATAATCTTTACACAATTTGGAATTTAAGCACTGTAAATAAATTGTTTTTGTATGGCTGCACAAAAGTATGATCCCTAATTTTGAAGACAATATTCTGAGCTTGCTGCTGATTTTGAGTGGTTTTAAACATCTGAAATATATCTGATTTTTTAAGTAGTTTTAGCTTGTAGATCCTTATTGGATTGCAAGCTTCATATTTAGCTAGAAATAAAAAGGGAACATACTGATGAATATCTTTGTTTCTACATCTCATTTCTCTTGTTGTCTTTTTCCATGTATTAGTCATCTTTTGACAAGAGCCATCAATGCCTAAAGGTGCCTTTTTCAATAATGCTATTTGTTCTAGTAAATTTATAAATTGATGTGTTCTGTGCCCCATGAGAATAATGATGTATTGATTTGAAAAATCCCCAAATACTCTGTGGTTACATTAGGCCTTGAAAAAAGATGATATCAGGATTGTTGTAGCAGTCCATGCCACTGTGCAACTTCTTTAGAAACAAAATTTTAATTGGAAAAACTTAGAGGCTGTTCATAGGATGAATGAAAGGAGCTTCCTCTAGGGCCAGTGACCATCTTTGCTCTGTTACAGACACAATGCATTCTCTGTCTTAACTTTATTGCAACATTATTTTCTGGCACATGACATAAAGCATAAAACAAGTTCGCACAAGAACTTAAACATGGGAGCTATTGTACAAATGATAAAATAAATCAACAGAGCTTTTCACATCAAGTAAGAAAAGTTATTCTGTCATGGAGAACGATGTCCAGAGGAATGATATAATATGCTATGTATGACTTTTTGTGTAGCTGTTTAGTATATATTGCCTTGATTTTTATTTTTTTTTTTACTTCTGTTTTGGAGAAAACATGCCATTATTTTACATGGAATACTAAAATGTGTCATCAATTGAAATGCAAAACTTGATTTTTAAATACATGTTCATAAAGGATGGCTCCGTACAGGTGTATATTTTGTGTATTTTGTCAGTTAACATGACTTGAACATGTCAGTTAACATGACTTGGAAATCTGTGCTTCCAGGGACAGAGTTTTGTGAAGCGTCCTGTGAGACAACTGATTTAGGCGGGGGTAGAATAAAGTAAATGGATTCTAGATAACCCTGATTTGAGATGCAAAGCTTTCAGATCTAGAGACTGTTAGCAGACATCAGTTCAACTTATTTTACATTTGTAGAAGATGTTTGAAAGGAACCTTGTAATAGCAACCTTTTTACTTAGAACAATCGTGTCTATACAGTGGAATCTTAATTAATGCATTATCATGAAAAGAAAGCAAAGTCAAGTATAATAATTGTGGGGTCAGGTGGGACATAGGGATGAATTTTTTATTTCCCACCCTTTTCTCATAGACTTATTCCTTGCTCCTAAATTTTTTAAAGCTTGTGTTACAATGCAAATTTTTATCAACTTACATATAATACTGGAATATACCCCAAGAAAACATACAGGGCAGCTACTTTTCAATCCAAAATTCTTCTACTAATGTCGATGGCAGTACATTTGGCTACAGTAATTTATGTGGCAGTTGGATCATTGGACTGTAAACGCATACCAAAGAACAATCCAGAAAAACACAGATGCACCAAAAAAAAGTGAAGAAATGGTAATTTTACTAATTTTAAGAAAGGATTTGGGAAAAGTGGCATAGAAGCTAAGAAGAAATAATAGCAAGTCAATTTCTCAGCTTGTGAAAGAATTAACTAAAATTTTTTACATGGCATCTACATCTCTTAAAGGACTGATGCTTGGAAATAAGTCTTAATCCACATGCAATCAGAAATTAATAAACTATGAAAAAAGAGGTTTGGGGTGCTCACAGGGAGGTTTCATGATAAGAGAAGGAGAAAAGATCAGAGATATAAAGGAAAGATGACTAATGTCAGTAGAATATTTTGTGTAGTTACTATTATAAGTCATTGAAGCTTATGTTTATGACTGTGTAAATCTAACAGTAAAGTTTATTACTTATGGAGGAAAGCACAGCTACTTTCAGTTAGCTGTTCTGTACAAGGATGCTGAGGGAATGGACAGTCAGAATTCAGTCCTCTGATGTTTTCAAGGCAGTTTCATAATCTCATAACTCTCCTGATTGCTAGCAAACTGGGGCATATCTGAATTCAGAGTCAGTCTCTGGCTTAGATAAAGCAATGCTCTTCTCTTGCAAAACTCATGAGTGAACTTCTGATAGTTGAAAGAACCAAAAGCCTGCAGCATGTTTTTTTTTGTTTTCCTGCTCTTTATTAGGTTATAACTTTGAGGTCCCAGAATTCTAAATATGTTACAATTTATCAAAAACATGATTTTAATCATAAAACTATGTGAATGAAGTAAAAAGGGAAAAGCAACTCATGGCAAAAGCCACAGAATTCCAAGAGAATTAATTTATAATGTGAAATGTTACATATGTGCATATATGTGCCAACGTCTATAACTGTCACACATGACAATACAAGATATTAGGATTTTATCTTGTAAAGACTGTAAGAAACTTTTCTAATATTTTGTCACAGTGAATTATTTTCCTTAGCAAAATTGTTCAATTTTAGTGAGAGGAGGTAATTATTGCCAGTCAAAATAGTCTGCAGTATTCTACAGTAAGTTTTCATATATAATTGCATTGCTGTGACAGTTTTAATTAATTTTTAGACAGAATATTTGATTTTTTTCACTTAATTCTAAAAATGCACCAGAAGATGTATTTCAGTATAGAAAAGCTTATCTGTGAGTCTTAAAGCTCTTTTTCCCCCCAGTCAAACTGTCATTCTGTGTTCTTGAGGCTGTTTTTTAGTCACTTCAACAGCTCATGCTTGGAAACCATCATATCACTGACACATTTCAGCTATTATTTAATCAGCTGAAAAGGGGTGTTTTGAAATCTGTAAAATAAAGAAACTAGATGACTGTTTTACACAGTACTTTTTCTATCAGGCTATGAGACAGGAAGTTGAATTTACAAGTTCAGTTTTTCATTTTGCAGAGCTACTAGAGAAGACACACAGAAGAGAAGAAGAAATGGGAGCTCTCCAGGTATATTTTCTGTTCAATTAACTAGCTACATTTTTTGTTACATTTATTTAAACTACTGTATTGTATTAGGCCATTATGTTCTTCTGAACTGCCTTATAGCTTAAATTCGGATTTGGAAACATATGCAGATAAATACAGAGCCAATAGCTAGTAACACTCACTGCTGAGTTTTTTCACTGGTTGGGTTGAATTCTCTGGGCTGTGTTACTTTCTTTTCTAAAACTGAATAAAACAGAAAGTAAAGTATTCCAAGTAAGTATTTAAAGCCTCCGAAGCACTGAATGTTCATAGCCACCTTTCTGAGGAAGAATGGACCAGTCACTATTTGCTAGGACCCAATGCAATATTATAAATCCTTATTGTATATCATCTAGCAGTAAAGTTGTTTGTGCTAAACACTTTGAATTCCTGCTTAAAAACTCAGATTTACCCTAAGCTCAGCTTTGGAATAGTATTTAAGCATTGCAGTCAAAGAAAACACTCCTTTCAATTTGAAATGGCTAAGAAAGCAAAAACAGGCTGGAATGTCTGAATTGTGAGGCTCAGGAGCCTGTGAGGGAGGGTAACGTGTATTCAGAATACAGAAAGAAAAGAACTAATTTTTAACAACAAATAGCTACAAACAATACCCAGTATGAACATAAAAAAAGTTGACATGCAATATGAAGAGTGTCAATGAGTCAGCATTCTGTAAGTGTACTGAAAGCAGGACATCTGTGAGGGAATTGATGAAGATAAGGCTCGTAAGGAAAATTACATTATGTATTGACCTGAGTTTTGACCATAGGAGTTTGTTTGAAGATAAGCCTTCTCTTCTCATTTAATAAATAGAAGGCATTTTGAGGGCTAGAGGTATCAAAGAAGTTCGTGTACAAACAGTTTGATCCCGTAAGAAGAGACAAGTTGCAAGACCCAAAAGTTGCACAACACACCAATCCAGCTGTTTCCTGTTCAAACAAAAATCTTGGCCTGGCTTTCTGGCAGCTCAAGTTCAACAAGGCTGAGGGCTTGTCTGCGTAAGCAGTTTACACAGGTGCATATCTGGTTACATCAATGTAAAAAGATCTCCTTTCATGTGAAGCAATTCTGCATCTGCTTTCATGTGAAGTTTCATGGTTGACAAATTGTTCTAATGATATTACTTCTGATTGAATGAAGAGTAATTTTAGACTGCAGGAAGTTGCATCATAGTAGTGTCTTGCATGGCTATATGTGCCTGCCTGTCTGTCATGTTCCTGATTAAATTGCTTTATTCCTTTCCCTAGCTGGCAGTTCTGGTTAAGTGTGTGAATTGTAGTGCTCTGACTGCTATTCTTTCATATTCAAATGCTTGATAGCAGTTTTTTCTCCCTTCAGCTACCCATGCTTTCACAGTCAAGTGGTGTATAAATTATCCATGGTAAATTTCCTAATACATTGGATGCTAGTCCAGAAAATTATCTGCTGAGATTGTAAGAGTTTATTATACTTTTAGAATTTGGCAACTATATCATGCACTTTATTTAACGCATGAGTCATTTTGAAAACACTCTTTATTCTATTGTTGGAAACATCCTCACTCTAAGACCTTTTTTTCAAAGTAGTCCTCTTTAAATGGAAACAATTATTTGAATTGATGTTCATTATCACCAGAAATTTATGAGATATGTAAATACCATCTTTTTTTATCGCAATGAGTATGTACTTTGTTGCAGAATCAATAAATAAAGGTGAATGGTTGCCACTGCAATTTTGTGGAGGAGCAAACATCTCAGAAGAAAAATTTCTGAGTTTTCAGTATAATATTTCTTGTCATAAGTTTGTTCTGATGCATGGAAATAATCTGTATCTCAGACCTGCTTCTAAGGAAGAACAAAGATTTTAGCAGGTGATACACTACCTTGCCTGAGAAAAAATAGAGTAATATTTGAGTAAAGTAAGAGTTCCTGTAATGTCTTAATGGTCACGTACTCTAAATGTGGACTCACCTAAACACTTGAATATATGTTTTGTCAAATAACTTAAAATACCACACTTATTCAGGATATAGTACCAGAGTACACTATCTTGATTTTACTAAATTCATATTTTTCTTTAAAATACTTCACAATGGAAAAGAACGTTGAAATCTATACAGTAAAGTAGTTAAATCTGGGTTCTCTGTATTCTGTGCTGGATTAAAACTGGCACAAGTTTGTTTTATTTGTTTGACTAATGTCATCCTGTTATTAAGAAAACATTATTCAGAGCTATTTCTGGATGAAAGAATAATGATATAGAATTTACTTTTTAGTTTTCTAAGGAAATGCGTAAAAGAAAGCTAAGCCGGGTGCTAAGATAATATGAATTCCAAATCATGCTAGGTTTACAGTCAGAGAAGATCAAAAAAAGAAATCCTTTTTTGGGATATGAAAGAGTGAAATCACCAATACTGAAAACCTAATGCACTAATTGAAAAAATATATTATGGAGTGATTATTGTCAAATCCTTTCTCACTTTGTTTCTGGGTGGTTTCTTATTTCTGGGGCAAATTTCTAAGTGGGATAGTATGATAAAGACATCCAATGAAATACAACAGTTCCTACTCATTGAGTTTTTTACAAAAAAAACTGTATGCATGAGACCACGAAAACCCCAAAATGAATCCTGTTCATCATTCTTTGACTTACACTGTGTTTATATTCTTCGCTTTCTAATGCCATCTTGTATTTTGCTTTTAGGAACGTATTATGGCCTTAGAAACGGTAAGTTTCTTAAATTAATTTCTAAACCAGTAATTTGTCTAAATTATGAAAATATTTTTAATATATACTTTTTTTAAAGCTTGTAGTTTGGGGTTTTTAACTGTCATTTTACTTTTAAGAAAATATATGAAAATTTTGCACTGCAGCTCTCTGTGTAGGTTTTTACTACAGTACTCATGTACTCATTATATGAATACAGTGTATTTCAGTGTTGTCATTTTTCTGTACAGTTCAGTCCTCATCCCATCACTGGGAAGAGAAATATTGTAGATTTTAGCCCTACAAAAGATGCTATTTTTCTAACACCTCCAATGGTTGGTATCCATGTGATAGAACTAATTATTTCAGTGGCTACTCTCTGTGCTTACTTGTTTGGTCAGGGAGGTGCAGGACAGAATCAGTTCATCTGCCCATATCCACACTGCAACTAAAAGAGTAAAGGAATTTATTTTTAACCGCTAATTAATATAATTTAATATGACATTAATTTGGAAGAAGAAAACTTCATGCCTGTACATGCCATGAATGCATTTTCCAGATGTCCCAAGGTAGTAAGTCCGTCAGGTGGAATAGCTGGAATGAGTTTCAGCTTGCCCTATAATTTTGGAACCATTCTTCTTTCCCTTCATGTAGGAATGTCAAATAAGATATCACAAATTGTATGTATCAGGCCCATAGTTTCTTTTAATGAGAAATTCAGAAAATTTCATCTGAAGAAATCATTACTGAATCAATATCGATGCTGCAAGTATAAACTTCTAAAATTTATTTGTGCAAATTATTACTTTACTCTTTCTGATAGTCTCTGCATCTGTAAAAGCAGTTTCTGATTTCAAAAATATCTTTTTAATGTATTCAATCTGTTAAAAAAATCTTTTATTCAGTCATGAAAGGCCCTTTGGAAATCAGAGTGCTGTGCTGCAACACCTGCCTTGTGGAAGCAGGTAGCTAATGCTAGCATTCAGTGTCCTAACACTTCACATGGTGCTGTGTCAGGTATTGACAGGACATTAATTCTGTTCAGGACCTTCTCTTCTTCATGGTTTGCTTACATGACAACCAGCCAGGCATGTATCCATTGACATCCATTTCTCACAAACCATGAGTTAAACTGCCTGCAAATTCCTTTTCCTTTCTGCTCCCAGAGCTATTTTGACACAGGCAGAGGACAGTTGCTTGCAAATACTCCAATGTCATGCAAATTCAGTCCATATTTTGTGACAAATGTTTCTTTCTTTTTTTTCTGGAGCTTTTCTCCTTTTTATACTTCCAATGTCTCTAATTTTAGAAAGGAAGATTTGTAAGTTGTTTGGATAGAAGAAAAGGATGACCTATTTATCCTACTATCCCACTGTTCTCCCTTTCTCTACAATCTACTCGCTTTTAACTCCTTCAGTTGCCAGTAAAATTGTTGTAGTGGCCATGAGATGAACTTGCCAACTTAGATAATTTAAAAAAAACCAGTTGGGAAAGAAATGTAACATGAACATTTCAGATTCCATTCAGAGCTCTGGGTGAATTAACCTTCCAGGCATAGCTTAATCTAACTCAGTGAATTTGTGGGTTGCAGCAAACAAGGAGGTCCCCTGCCTCTCTCTGAGCCCTGTCACCTCCTTCTCTTCTCAGCAGTCTGTTTGAGCTGGAAGCTCCATCTCCTGTGTATGGTACCAGGCAGTTTCTTGGGTCTTTTGTTTCCTTAGCCAGCTCCTGTTTCCAGAGGAAAGTGCTGTTATCATGAACCTCCTTCAAGATATTACACATGATCTGATCACTCCCTTAAGGAGCCTGAGAACAAATAGTACCCATTTAGAAGAAGCTTTTGGATATCTTGGTTCTTTTTTTCAATCAGGTCAATTTTGCTGTATGATTCGATAGATAGGTATGCCACTTCTTGCTCCAGCACATTGTGCAGGTTAGGAGCAGAAGCTGGAAGATAAGGAAGAACAAGGTTTGTTAGACTCACTAGTGGATATAAAAGGAGCTGAAGAACCTAGATGTTTTCTGTAATAATCTTCCAACTCTTGAGAAGTGCCAGAGGAGCAACAAGTGTAGGCAAAACTGAGCTTTTGAGTATCTAGAGATTGCAGCTTTTTTGCTTTTTTATTTGGTTTAATGCCGTTAATTAAAGTGAATTTAATTATTTCGTAGCTATTAACAAGTAAATATCCTAGTGACTTCAGTAATCAATAATTTAGTCTGACATCTTGAGAGAATTTACATGATTTATCTTTCAATTAAATGAGTTATTTTATTCCTAAGTATACTTTAGTTGTTGCATACAAGATTTGGCTCTGTATTATTCATAGAGAAAGGTGTATGATTTTTTTGGGAAAAAAATCTGCATTGTATTCTCAGATAAGGCCACAATGGAAAGTGTATTTATTTCTCATAAAGATGTCAGGATGCATTTTGTAGGTGTACACTGCTACTATGCTGTGCTTGAGATTTTAGTGGGTTTCTATAGAGTATATACTGTTCTTTGTGACCATAAGCTGCAAGTTATGTTCCTCTGCTTTACTCGTACTAATCTGACGTACAAGACTGCAAAAATTAATTTTAAATCAACCACATCCTGAAGTTATTCCAGTGAACATATGCATTATATATGCTTTGATCAATAAAACAGCTTGTTGCTTTCAGTAGAGAGCCCAGAATGAGGTTCCCACTTTCTTAGACTACTTGGATCAGACTTTTCTGGACACAATTCAGCTTTTTCTTACAATGTCCATAAATCTAGATTAAGCCAGTAATGCTGTAAGTATTCAGCAAAATTGTTATTTAATCTGAATTTTTCATTCAGTATGAACATTTATGCGTTTTGTTTTAGTGCATTTTTATGTTCAAGAAAGTAAGGTTTTGAATACCAGTAAAACAAATTTCTGTCTGCATCCACTCAGCAATGTAAAAGTTATTAGATTATTCTCCTGTAGTAGCAGGCTCAAATTTGCATCAGTTTTATGGTTTATCATCCAATTTAAAAGAAGAATTGGAAGGATAAGAATACCAAATGCATTTTGTAGAGAGATTATGTGACTGCCTGACACCATCCATTTTTATGTGCTTGTTCTCCCTCTGTCTCTCTCTCAGTGTGCATTCCATCAATAAGTAAATCTTGCTGTTAGCTTGAGATTATTTAACGATTTTCATACTTTGCTTGTATGAATGTTGATGAAATACTGAATGGAAGGGTTAATACTTTCTTTTCCTCTTGCTTTGATTCTGTATTGTCTTGCCAAAACTACCATTGCATCAAAGGCTTTCTGGTCCTCCCAGCATACAGCCATTCTTTGATCTTATAAAAATGACCAGCAACAGTTTGAGATCCTCTGTCCTGCCTGCCTCGCCCTTTCCTTTCCTTTTATCGGGGAGCCAGTGTGTCACTTCCCTTTGCTGAGCTTCCCAGAGCCTTTCCTCTGCTCATAACCATCAAGTAACTTCTGTGTCCTGAGGCTGCTGGCAGCTTGCTATTTCTTTCCTCCTCATGCTCAGCTTTCTCTTCCCTTCTTCCTTGATGTTATCTTCTCACCCTATTTATTGCTCTTGTTTATTACCCAGCTACTTGTCCATCCTCTGCCCCCTACTATTTGGTGTTTCACTTGTTCTTTCAGGATTTTTTCTAGTGCAATCACCTCTAGTTTTCTAGCCTCAGAGTGAAAAGCATTTCCTGTGTTCAGACGGAACCTCCTATGTTTCAGTTTGTGCCCACTGCTTGTCACCGGGCAGCGCTGAAAAGAGACTGGCTCCCTCTTCTTTACACCTTTCCTTCAGATCCATGTGCATATTGATGAGATCTTCCAGAGCCTTCGTTTCTCCACACTAAATAATCCCATCTTTCTCAGCTTTTCCTCACAGGAGAGATGCTCCAGTCCCATAAAATTTTGTTGTCATTTGCTGGACTTGTTCTTGTGTGTCTCTTTTGTACAGAAGAACCCTGAACTGGACCCAGCACTCCAAATGAGGGCTGACTAGAGGATAGGGATCACCTCACTTGACTTGCTGGCAGTGCTCCTAGTGGAACCCCTACATGCTCTAAGTTCCTTTCAAAATTAGGATAATGTGTTCCACATGTTGCAAATGTTGAACATTTTTGCCAAAGTTTAATAAACCAACATCCTTCAGGTTTTAATTAGAGAAAGTAAAAATCTCAGGAAAAATCCTTATTGCAAAAGACTTTAGTTATCTAAAATTATTTATTTCAGTTGAACTGGGAGTAGTAGTATGCAGTGTTCTCAATTTTTTTTTAACGTAGTAGGTATACACATATAAATGTAATCTTAAAGACAGATCCTATGGGTTCCTTCCTCAGGATCCTCAGGAGAAATCAGAGAATCTTAGAATCACTGAGGCTGGAAAAGACCTCCAAAACCGTCATGTCTGACCTTTGACTGAACACCACCTTGTCAGCTAAACTATAGCACCAAGTACCATGTCCTGTAGTTTCTTGAACAATTCCAGGGATGGTGGTGGCTCCACCTCCTCCCTGGGCAGCCCGTTCTAATGCCCTTTCAGTAAAGAAATTCTTCCTAATGTCCAACTTGAATGACAGCTTGAGCAGCTTGAGACTGTTTGTTCTTGTCCTGTCTCTTGCCTGGGGAAAGAGACCAACCCCCACCTGGCTACAGCCTCCTTTCAGTCAGTTGTAAAGAGTGATAAGGTCCCCCCTGAGCCTCCTTTTCTTCATGATAAACAACCCAGCTCCCTCAGCTGCTTGTTATATTAATTATGTTGGCCTTTCATCTGTGGAATATGTATCTGAGTTCTTCCACAGAATGTAACTTGATAAGACATAGATTTGTACTTTATTTTTCTTGATTTGGTTTGTACATCACAACATAATTTAAATTTTGTTTGACAGTGCACTATTGACTAGATGTTTCCAATGTGTTGCTACATCCTTCATTTTAGATTTAAGTGCTTTCTGTTTGATCTAGTTATAACCATAGGAGTACAGGCATCAGTTACACCTATTGATGCCACCACAGATTTTTTTTTCTTTCATT